AAATAAAGAATTACTAACAGGGCTGTTTGGCTGCGGACCTATCGGCTTAAACGGTGGAACCACTGGTGAGTCTCTGTCTCGCGATATTGGCGTCTTCTCGAGGGATTCCTGACATGACGTCGGAACCGCGAGTTGATGAGGTGCTCGAGCTTGCAAGAAGAGAGAAGCTGGGGAATATATCCACAATATTTTGGTACACAAGTCAAGGGAAATTAAGATATAATTCGATAGAAGACTTCGTATTTATGGCTTGTTCCGAGTTTTTTTTCCGCAGCTGTATGTAAAACCTCCCAACTCTTCCTCATATCTTCGGAGAGATATTAAATGAAATCCTCTCGTCTGAAATCAAGTGCGTCATCCTATCAGTTTCGAAGTTGTAGGAATTTACAAGGAACTCTTTTTGATGCAAACTTTTTATTAATATGAATCAAGACAGCAATAGTGGTGCTCTTTAAACCCATCACGACGCATTTGATGCTTCATGGAGAGGAAGGTATCCAAAACAACAATCTTTTTTGAATATTCTTTGATTGCACGAATGTCGATCGGAATAGCTGTGATAAGGAAGAGCTAAATGACTAGACAAAGACCGATGGGATGGATGAGAGAAAGTTTATGCAAAAAAGTATGACACTGTAAGCAAGGAGCCAAGGAGTACGAATTCGAATACGAAATGTTATTCCATGAGTGTTATGAATACTAAAATATGCGGATGATGACGGCTATTATAAAAGCCGTAGTTCAACCGTTGAGGTAGAAATCTATTACCTTACACGCCATACGTACACCACGATGGCGTGTGGCGTTATTAGTGTCTAGAAATGTTTTCGAGCAAAAATACGCTGAGAATAGAAAACTCTAAACATTCAGGTGGGCCTGAATCATCACCATCATCATTATCATCATCGCTATCATAACACGTAGTGTACAACAGAACGGGGATCACAATTGTTCAATATTATTTCAATAATTAAAGCTCTATGAATGGAGAGAGATTCCAATCGACGTAAAATACATGGATATTTGCAAAAAAAAAACAACAATACAACATAATATGGCAAGTACCGTATTGAGGCATAGGAGTAATAATATGAGAATTTAAATGTAGAATGCGTGGTAGAACCGGCAAGCGTAATGATGTACATACGTAAATATAGTGTGATGAGGAAAGCATTCATGTTTGGCATCGAACGACACATTCAGCACCCAAAAGGCGTTAAACACACTTTACATTATATGGGCAGTTGTTGAAAGAACATACATAAACATACTATGGTGTCGTTTACCGCCTAAGTGACAGTAGTTGTGAGACGTGCCAAAAATCGCGATTTTGGCATGGTTTCAAGAGAGCGGAGACATGGAACGCAGTGATGACGGTGCCCGATCATCACCTCTCATGGCAGGCCTGTTTAATTGTTTGTTTACTAGTGTATATTTCAGTAAGTTAGACGGCGAACAACAGATCATAGAAAATATGCCACAGTACATGTACCTATAAGGGCAGGACTATATCAGATGCTATGGATAGTGCCTGATATACAACAGACATCAAACACATAAAACATCTTGAGATCAGATGAATGAAATCAGGAATTATGGAAAGCTCAATGGATTAACGATTATTGGATCTACTATATAGTACTAGTCAAGTGTGCCTTGTCCATGTTCGGCGTCCCAGAATTGAGTCGGTGTCCGATCAACATTATTGAAATCTTGCCATAACGCCAATATCAGCTCACTACTCATCAACTCACCGGCATGTGTCGAGATCATGCGTAACATGAAGACCCCTGAAAATCGATTTATAAATGGAATCTGATGACCATTTTAGTTTCAAAAAGTTTCGCTTACATCAAATGGGACGGAAATAAGCGTGGTTTTTCGAAGGCGGTTGGCACGATAAATCTCTAAGACGAGTAGGACTAATATGCCTTCAAGGAAGGAAATCTGTGCCCCTGAGCAGGCGCTGCGTAGTGCCTTTTCCAAGAAAGGTACCCTTATAAGGCCCTATCAAGCTGCAACATACCGACCCGGACGCCCACCACGCCCGCCCGCCCACAAATGGACGACCGTACCTGATGCTCGTATTGCTTCATTTGCGAAGTAAAATATGAAGCGAAGGGATTGATATGAAGCGGCCGCGGTGCTGCATGGATATATGAGTACATACAGCCGTACCTACCGTAGCGGCTTATTGGCAGATGCCAACGGGAAACTCGTCAGAAATTGCTTCCTGAGTCACTAAGCACGAAGGCTTTTCTTTTTTCCTTACTATGTAACACGCTGCTAGCATTTTAGACCGAGTACTGAACTATTGTGCCATATACCTTTAAGTGTGGTTGGAAAACGCACAGCATGCAATTGGCTGAAGCATTCTCTAGTAAAGTAAAGGGGTACGCACTCTCACGGTGAATCGATTGTGTCCTGGTACGAATGCCGCGCACGTGACTCCGTTTGCAGCGTCAAGCAGGCGGGATTTGGTGAACTACACCAAGAATTCAGGGGAAACGAACAGCTCCGATTAATGTGAACACAAGAAAATAGAAATTGTGGAAATTTTGCCATTTAAAGGATTCGATCCACAAGCGTAGTGTTTGCCTTTTCTTCGGCCTTCTCAGAACGGCACAGCGAAAATGATAGAACGGGCCGAAAATTTATAACTATTGCGCCTTCCTAATTTGTATGAATGCCGTTCTTGACAGCCCTGATCTGACCCAATCTCGCAAACATTGCCCTTCACAGCATTCGACTTTCAGTTCTCCATTCACACCCTATCCGTGTCTCCATCATTACGAGAAGAACATTCCCACCAATGGGTCGATACGTCTCATTTTCGGACTTTTCTAATAAGACGAATTGAACAGATTCAACGGGATCGGTTTATTAAATGTCTCCCGACTTTCTAGGTCCAGAAGAAGGCGACATCGCAGAATCTTCTGCCTAATAAAGGTCGTTAACAAACTCGGCTAGAGCTATATAAGAACTCCAATCAGTACGGGCTCCACTTCATAATCCGATAGGTCCACCTACTGTCCTTCAAACGCGCAACGTGAGCAATTCATCCTCATTGCGCCTTCCTCACTAATGCGCCCCTCCTACTGTAATGCTGTTCGTATCAGATCGGGGCGATCGGGCGTGATAGTCCCAGAAGGCATGGAATGGGCTCATTTGCGATCGAGTATTTTTTCAGGAATATATGACCATTGTAGGTAGAGAACATCTAATGGTAGGGAACGCAGCGAGCGGATTTATCCCATCTTCTGGCACTGCCCGGCCGGTATATCCAACTGTATAGACGAGGGGCTCAGTTTAGAACAGCACACTGGTCACACGTGTGCCTTCGGTTGCGGAAAGTGCCTGATCGAAGTAATATTCTATGATACACTGCTTCATACTTCCCGTAAGCTTTGGAAGCTCGAAGGCATATGGCACGATAATTGGTACTTGGCCTAAAATGCTAGCAGGGCGCTATATAGTGGGAAAATGGCGAAAGAACGGAGTGAAACGGTCAAAATCCTGCGAAGAAAAGCCTCCGTTCTCAATGTGTTCAAAATCAATTTTGGACGAGTTTCCCGTAGGCATCTTGCCAATAACCGCTACCGAAGGTACGGCTGCATATGTGTACTCATATATCCATGCAGCATCACGGCCGCTTCATACCAATCCCTTCGCTTCATAATTTGCTTAGCAAATGAATCGATTAGAGCGTCAGGAACGGTCGTCCATTTGTGGGCGGGCGGGCGTGGCGGGCGTTTGGGTCGGAATGTTGTGGCTTGATAGGGCCCTTATAAGGGCACCTCCTTGGAAAAGGCATTATGCAGCGCCTGCTCAGGGTCGCGGAATTCCGTCCTGCCAGGCGTATTAATCCTACTCGTCTTGGGGATTTATCGTGCCAACTGCCTTTAAGCGGTTTTTGTTTTGAAGCATGTCGTACATAGTCAAGTCAGAAAAGTTCCCTTGGAATTGCTCATTTTTGAAACTCTGACTTGTCGATGCTTTCCTCAAGAGATTGCAAAGGATTGCGGACTTTGGCCATTTGTATGAGGTTTTCAAAAGCGTCTTCGCTTTAGTGTGTGGAAAAACTATCGAAGCATCTATTCGAGACCTCGTGAAAAATTGACGTTGTTACTAGTAGCTGAGGGTTCCTTCCCACTTCAGACGGGACAAACACTTGATGCATTATAGAAAGGGTTATTCATACATGCTATGCCTGAATAGTAAATATTAATGTTCGAAGAAGAGTTTTCAGTAAGAGGAGATAACTTCGAGGCAGCGGGAATGCTAATTTAGTTGACGCTCCAAAATGGAAGAGTGAATGGTGAGACCGTGAAAAAAGTAAACGAAACGATCAAAAACAAGCAAAATGAGGCCTTTATTCGGCTCGCTGATTTCGAGCGATGTACGAATCATGGGTCACAGTGTTACCGCGAGTGACGAAAAAACGTCACCACCTCGCTCCCCCTCTGCCGCAAGATCTAGAACGCAGGCATTCGGAGTTCACTGGCTGCGACAGCCACTGAAGGGAGAGCGAAACTTTATGGCTGAGTCAAAGGACGGTAGCGTTGCAGAACTTTGAACGAGCAGTTCTCAAAACTGGCCGGCCAGTTTATAGTACCCTCAGCCTGTAGCTCTTTAATGAATAAGGCGCGAAAGCCTATATGGAAGGTCAAAGGCAGTGGGCAGGTCAGTGGTGGAAGGGCTGAATGGGGCTAGGCAGATCGTCCTCCGCAGCCCTTCCACCAATGACGCTGTAAGAATCGCGCGCCCAAGCGATCGCGCCCACCGCCTTTGATCATTCCATTTTGTAAGGTGAATTATATCTCGGAAATCGGAAAACCAAAAATGAGTGCTACACATTCTAATGCTGTTCTTGGGTAGTGGGTCAAGAGATTTCAGCTGGTAAGACGCGTAAAATGAGCTCGACAGGCGCGAAACTCTTGAGCTACTTGTTTCGCCTGCTGTAGTTTATTTAAATCATATGAATGGGATCCTGATGCAAATAGCGTATGCAGTCAGGCTTCCGCCGCAGCGTCGCAACTCGGGCCTCCTGAACCACACAACTATTCTTGTACAAACCATTTTGTTAGACAAACATCTACTTATGTCCTAACAAAGGTGGATCATTGGCTGTTAACTGCTTGACAAAAAAATAGATGACTTACTTAATGCCTCTCACAGTACTAGTTTGAGACTCTTAAAATAATGAATAAAAAATGAACAAATTACCATCTTTTCGCAAGAAATTGTTCGTAAATTTTCTCAACGTGACGTCGTCAGCAATAGGTTTTGCGGGATGATCAGCAAGTACACGTAGATACTTTCGAACAAAGGACATGCCCTGTGAATATAAACATTAAGCTTGGACAGTTAAAAATAATTCGGAATTTTCAGTTCTTGTCTACTCTCCTACATACTAGTTCCAAAACTGGAAAAAATATTCCGATGAACGAAGCAAAAATAGGTTACAAAAAAAAACTGAGTAAGCTGACCTGACTTGGGATAAACATAATTAATATCCAATAACAGGTATTAAATACAGTGATAACACCAACGGTTAAGAACCAAAACCTGAAATCATTGACAGTCGTCAGAGTGGGATTCTTTTTGACAGATGAATCATTCTTGTGAGTGACTTAGAAAGATAGGGAAATGAGAAATTTGACGTTTTTTTTGGAATACGCCACGCATTTCACTTCAATTCGGAATTGCGTCGATATTTGGAAGCGACTTCAGATAGTTTTTAGGGAACGTTCACACATCCATATACGCAGTCCTTTTGTCCTTTCAGATGGGTTCAGTACCATCACCCTCCAGGCTGATTGGTATCTTGCAATTCGTAATCTTGTCCTTGCTTAGGCGATCAAATGGTCCGGTGTAGGCTGTAGTAGTCCGCCACATTCTCCGGTTTAGAGTCCATCGTACCTCAGTGTACGGTAGTACGACCTAGTGCCATTGTTCCGTTTCGCATACAAGGCAGGGCGGCCGCACTCCCAACCATGGTCAAACGTTTACGTCCTCTCACTTCTGGTTGTTCTCTGCCTCTGACTGCGCGCTTGTTGCAGGATTTTCGTATCGAGGCAAGTGCTGCACGTTGAGGACAGCGCAGTCGAGTTTGGAGGCGTTCTCGAATAGTCAGACTGCTCTCTACGCCCTGTTCCCTGTGCAGTTTGGCTTGCAGAAAATGGCACCCAGGCATATCGTGGGGTTGGGAACTTTCTTCAATAGGGGTCGAATTTATAGTTCAGAGAAAAAAACATTTTTTGTTTGATTATGTGGTCTGTGTTCAACGGATTGTTCCATAAGGAGAGGTGTCATATTTGGTTAGTTGATTGAGAGTGAGGGCATGAGTTGCTTTGGGGTGCTGGGAGAAATTCTCCGTTAAAAGGCTTTCGCGGTGCTTTTGTTCTGTTTTTACATGTGGCTATTATACTCACCCCCCTCCTCTAATTTCGATTAGCTCAGACCAGAGGGGGGGAGGGTGGCGTATCCAGCACCCTTTTAGGGGAGGGTCGCGACCAAAATCCCCAACTAATAATGGGCCCTGAATACGCTATTGAAGCTGCGGACCCATTCACATCGCACATGGAGAGGACCGTCCTCGGTGGTGGGTCTTTTATGCTTTGTGCTGCTCGTTGAATATCCCAGTATTCCCTTCCAAATCTAGTGCACCGATTTCCTTAAATACCCCTCAAAGTACAAAGTTATTGAGCAAATCGTGGAAATTTCAAGTCCACATTTAGCTTTCGGCTGCTTTTGAGGTTAGAGATATATCTACTGCATGCCTACGACTTATGCTCGACTCGCATTTCAACGATAATGACTTGAATAACTGCCGTCGAGAGCGACCGACGAGACTATTCACTATATCTCCAGAGAACAGTGAACAGAACATAAACTGAACTCAACGAGCACTAAATTGGCGTCTCGGTGTTTTAAGATCGTTGATTTAGTGACTGGCCTCAACAGCTACCCCAAGAGGGAATTTATAGGCGTGTTCCGCCATAGCGAGACTAGCGACCCGAAGATGACGACGTCAACTATTAAGTAAAATTTGTCAAATGAAAAAAATCCTTCCCATTTTTAGGAGTACCAGTCGGATCGCCTCTCCCCCTCGCTAGTGAACAGTTGTGAATTTTTTTGTAGACGCAATGAGTGGGAAGTCGGTATTGGATGGTAAGTGGAAGAACTGAGTGGAAGGATGCATCCTTTTGAGCTGTTTTAGAACAAATAGCAGGTAAATAAATAAACAAACAAATAATTAAACATATTTGCTCACAAATTTTTAATTTTGCCCCCATACACCCATTACATGACTTGCTCACTGCTAATGTGCTACTCTCATGTGTCTAGAGACGAAATTATGAGCTTCTGCACGTCTCGTTCACTGAGGGTTTCCCTCCCTTATTTCATGTGGCTTCCCGCTGCCCCCTTCACTCACATTGCCCACCTCTTAGGCTGCTCAGGATGCGTTTTGAAAATTTTTTGTCCACGGTACCGTGCACTTCGTCGCACGCCCCGCCCACTTTGGGTGGAGCTAGATTACTTCGTATGTGCATTGTAATGCTGTTGGCCATCCACATCCAAATCCAGGCCTTAACTCACCTCCGAAACGGGTTCGAACTACCTTGACCACATTTCACGCGCGGTCACACACGACAAAGACACCAGCTATACCAGGGATAAGGCATATTCATGTGGAAGCGTACTTTACGCTCGCGGAAAACACAGCAGAGTGGAACAAACTTTCAAGATGGAGTCGGAAAATTGCATTTTGTCACATTAACTCTGACGTACCAAGATAGCGGGCGAGCTCATCAGTTCCATCGCACCCACTTCCACTGCTGATTTCATCCTTGTGAATCGGCTTCCACTTTCTCTTTTCATTACTCAACCAGTCGGATCGCCCAGCTGCTTCGCCGCACGTCTCCTCCTTTGCGACATGTAGCCCCTGGCCGCACGGCGACCATGCGGATTTGCGACATTGCTAAGTTACGGCCACTCGCCCTGGACCAAACCACCTTTTCAACCACGGACATCTATACCTGCCTCCTCCAGCCAAAAAAACTGAAAACGCCCAAGCCTGCTCCTCCGTTAAGGCACCGCAGACCAGCGCCACAGCAGCAGCGCCCACACGCCGGCCATCAAGACAAGGCGAGAGCGGCCTTACGCCAGCGATCCCGACTGCGCTACACATTTCATAACCCCACACAGGGATATTTGCTATCTGTCTAGCAGGCTTAGCCGCTGAAGCAGCCTATGATTCATGCATTCTGTCCCTTAAAACGTCCTGCTCTGGAATGCACTACCGCACTCAGCAGTGGAACCCTTTGAATGGTCCTCACTAAGGTTCTTGATGGGAGATATTTGTGGTCAGAGTGATATAGTCAATTGCTGCCGTTCATAACATCTCTGTAAACAAACCCCATGCATTTGGAATAGAGCTAGCTTAGCGGTCGTACATGATGTCGTTACTAATAAGCAGTGAGGAATGAGTTCTGTTGGAATCATTGAGATCGTTATACTTGAGTCATATCGATCGCATTGTTGTTGTGAGCGGTGAAGCGGATTTTCCCATGTTACCTTGTTGCCAATTTTAGCTCCTATCACTTCCGTACCCGCCAAATAACACTCCCGTCCCGTATCACTATCATATCACCCTGTATCGCCTCTCGGATCAGAGGTCCCACTGTTGCTGTAACCTGCGTTACGAATTTGATGACCCTCCCTTGAGCGTTATCCATATCTTTAGAACTGTTATCACTTTCTGTCGCCTGCCAGTAATGTTCCCGTCCCAACCCTATAGCACCTGATCAATGTCCACTGCTACGTTGGCACGCACTAATAATATGGTAAGTCCTTCCCTTCTAATGCCCTTATCGGATCTTATCAGCTGATATCACATCCTGTCACCTACCAATAATGTTTTCGTCCCACCCCTATTTCACTGCTCGGAACACACACCATGCTGTCCTGTGGCCGCACTATGCGAATGAGTGACCTTCCCTTTGGAGCGCTCTTACGAATACTTATCAACTGAATATATATCTGTCACCCACTCACAATTTGGTCGTTCCCGTCACACCTCCATCACTTCCTGGAATCAACGTTTCTCTGCCACTGGGACAGGTGTTATGAATTTCGTGACACACACACACACAGACACACTTAGCGGATTATATATAGTAGGATATTTTATTATATACTCTTTGGTTCAGTCTAATCGATAAACTCCCGTGAAACAGATGAGCATCCGTACAGAATAAAAAATACGTCGAAATTAATGGAAAGACTGAAATATGCAAAAAAGCAGCTTCAGATAAATATAACCAAGATCAATATGAAAAAACCGGCGTTCTAATACCTTGGCGGGGCGGGGGCGGAAGGGTGGGGATTGCCACAGCTGTGTAGCGTTCTGTCAGCATATTAAAAATTCTTTTATCGGGCCACCTTGTTGACACACCTGTAGGCCTTGTTTTTACCCGCCCACCTCTCTGTAAACTCCTGTCAAGCTGTACAAAATGAACGGACAAGATTTGGAAGAAAATGGAGCAGTGGCGTTCAACTGGTGCTCAGCCCATTTCACCAGGCATGGCAGGAATTTAAAATGTTCTTGACAAGTTTGTACAGGTCCTGTAGGGTGAAACACGATTGGGGAACAGAAGACCCCCCCCCCCCGAGGTTACTAGCACCCTGTGTTTAGAAACGTTTCACACTCGTTGTCGCCTGCGTCTATTCGATCTTGCAGATGAATACACCTTATATTCCAGAAAATATAGTATTATAAGTATCCAGTTGAAGACCAAAACAAATTCCACAGTAATTTCAAATTTTAAGCCGGTCTGAACAACTGTTTTGATGTAAGTGAGCTCACGCAATTCTAATGATGATTTTACTTCTATATATCTACTGGATTTTTCAAACAAAAAGACGTTACTACCAAAGGATACAAAATTGAAGAATAATGTGTTAAATTAACTCCAACGAATTTCTGAATTATGTATCATAATACATATTTCAATATAAAATAGCATAGAGCTGGTTGTGCGCGAAAAAGTGATTGTTCAGATCGCTTATGTTTTCAAATCAAATAGCTAGATAATTCTGCTGTGCACCTATGGGCTAAATAAGGAACGTGCTGTAAGTACAAAAAACATTGTAAGAAACCTAGCATTTTCCTAACGTCTGCTAAGCGCACACTTGTGCGGTAACCGAATAGGTGGAGACCTATTAACACTGACTCTCTAATTGGTGCGTCTCTTTTTCTGATAGGTCAAAGGGGATAGGCGCACCAATGAGGAAGGCGCATTCGTCATGGGCCACCGCCCTCCTGCTGCGATTGGGCTCTTCAACATTCTAGTGAGCTAGTTACGAACACATGTCAGGGCCACTTTTATTTACAGAACTCTGTTTAAGAAAATAAATCCTAACAAACCAAAACTCTAATAATTACTTTTCGCAACTTGTATGAACTTACCATAAAAATAAGAATATCTTCTCATTGAACATATTGATCATAAGCACACATTGAACAGTATGCCGATGAATGTTGCCGAGTACGCGCACCTGAAACGTCGCCCATCTTTTCTAATGA